GGAAAACTTATCTCACATGTAGGCGTGCTCAGGCTGCCCAGAGAGGTGGTGGAGACCCCACCCCTGGAGATATTCAAGGTCAGGGTTGATGGGGCTCTGCAACCTCCTCTGGTTGCAGCTGTCCCTGCTCCCTGCAGGGCAGTTGGACTAGATGACCTTCAAGGGTCCCTTCCAACCCAAATCATTCCATGATTGTATGATTCTGCCACCTTAGCCTGAGATATAGATATTTATGGAGCTGGATTCTCTTGCTGTCTTGACCTTGGAGTTGTTCTTGATTCCTACCAGCTACTTGAATACTTGTGATGTGCTTCAAGTCTTATCAGGAACTTTCAATTTAGGATTTGGTTGAGTTTTTGAAACAGATTTTAATCTCAGCTGCACCCTGAAGGTTTTCTTAAGGCTCGCAGTAACTCTCTGAAACACAGAAGAGGTTTCCCTCATTTCATGGTGCCATATCTTCACTGCCTTCCAGGTCCAAAGGGGTGATCCTGAACATCTCCTCGGGGGCTGGGGCGTGCCCGACTCCACTGCTGACTCTTTACTCTGCAACCAAGGTAAGTGTTCTCCTCCACCCCCAAACCAAGTGTCAGCAGAAGCCAACGCTGCAGGGACAAATGTTTTGGTGTCCATCTAGTGGTGCTTTCATGAATTAAAAGCAGAGAGCTTCTACCTTAATTTTTTCCAACAATGAAGTTGAGAAAGGATGTTGACTAAGTTAAGCACAGTTTCTTATTATGACTCTGAAACTTTTTTTCCCTAATTTCACTGAAGATGTGGATCTTCAATACACAAGTATATGTGCTGATATAAGTAGGACTCTTCTGGTGCTTCCTGGAAGCCAATATTTGTCCTTAATTAATTAATTGCCTTAAGTTTAGCAGTTCAGGTAAGAGAAAAGAGAGAGCTCTAGGGCCTCACCATTACCAGACAGCCAACTTCTCTTGATCTGCTGACCACCCATCCTGCTGAGGCAGCCCAGCACATGGCTTGGTGTTCCTGCAGTGAGTGGGTGATGGGCTTATCTTCCCCCTGGCACCCACCTTGAATTCCAGGTTCTTTGCAGCAGGGCTGTTACTCAGCTAAAATCAAGGCATGGTGTTCCCCACTCTGTACTCAGAACTTTGCTCTTCACTCTGTTCCAGCTGAGAAATCTCATGATGTTTAGCAACAGCCAAATTCATCAGGGTCTCTCTGGACTGAAGCTCTGTCGTGTCAGCCCCTCCACCTGACACTGTCCCCTGCAGATCTGCTGAGGGTGTGCTCTGTGTGGGCTTCTAGCTGGCTGATAGGAGACACTGAAGAGTTTGGGCCTTGGTTTTAGGATCTCAAGTAACAACAGAACTAGGGGGAATGGGGCAAAGCTGGCAGTGGGCAGATTCAGGCTGGATGTGAGGAAGAAGTTCTTCCCCATGAGAGTGGTGAGACCCTGGGATGGGTTGCCCAGGGAGGTGGTTGAGGCCCCATCCCTGGGGGTCTTTAAGGCCAGGCTGGAGGAGGCTCTGGGCAGCCTGATCTAGTGGGAGGTGTCCCTGCTCATGGCAGAGGGGTTGGAACTGGGGGATCCTTGTGGTCCCTTCCAACCCTGACAGATTCTGATCTGTTTTGGCAGAGGACTTTGGAGCCCTGGTGGCTCGGTGGTTGGACTTGATGATCTTGGAGGTCCATTCCAACCTAAAGGATTCTATGATTCTGTTGTTCTGTAGATATCAAGCTGTTCATCGTGGCCCTTGGAGCCCAGTGGGCCAGCTCATTTTTAGTCTGGCCAGTGGCTTGGCCTTTCAGCCCACATCTGCTCGACTTCCAAATGAGAATGCTGCAGAAGATGGTGTCAGCAGTTTACTGAAGTGCAAGGATATCTACAGAGACACACACACATGTAAATGTAGTTTCTCTATGTTAAAAACATGTTTCCCTCATCTACAAAGCCAGTCCACTCCCTTGTAGAAAGCAACCTGCTGTTGGTAAATCAGCCTTGATTGTTTCTGAGGTATCTCCTTGTCCTTTATGTGCTTGGAAAGGAGTTCCAAGAGGAGAGCTCCATGATCTCTCCACAAACTGAGTCAAAGCTGATGGGATCATCCTTGTCTTTTCAAGGAGGGATGTGTTGGTCCTCTTCCAGTTGCTCAAGACCTCCCCTAGTTTGGAGGTAGTGTAGGCAGCAGACTTCTGTGCATAAGGACTAGTTCTTCCAGCCCTCTTGAGTGATTCCATGGTGGCTCCATCCAACTTCTCTGGGTAGTCCCTAAATTCTTGCTACCTCTGCCTATCCCATTAGTCAAACAAAACCAGGGTGTGCAGAGGCACGTGAGCAGGCTCTGGCTGTGTGAAGGCAAGAGAAGTGTTAATACCTGTAACTTTTCCTTTCCTTCAGCTCCAGGTTGTCTCCCTCATCCATCAGCAGACCCCCATTTCCCTGAAATTCCTCTTGAAACTACTTTAGGATCCTTTACTGCCACAGTTAAGGTCCTTGGCTTGTCTTTTCCTAGCTGGGATTTCATTCTGAAGTACCCAATAATGTTTTCTGTTAATCTTCTGTTGCTTTTCCTTGTTTCTATCTCTCATATGCTCATTTTTAATTCATCAAGAAGCTCCCCACTTAGCTCCACACTCTTCTGAGTGAAATTTCCAGTCTGCTTCCACAACAGGCTGATTTATTTTTCCAGTTCATCAGTTACTCCTCTAGATCTACATTTCATGTGACATTTATCTGCTTGGATTTCTCTTCCTGTCACTGGGACAGTTTCTTTCTGCAGCTGATCTTTTTTTTTCTCCATGGTATGGAACTGCATTACACATGATGAAATTAAATGCCAGAGACATTTCTGCTGGTATTAAAACAGTAATATGGCACTACAGCTTTTTCAGATGCAGCAGGTAATCACCTGAAATACTTTTAGGGATTTTAGAGTCTAAAGTGAACCTCAACAGGATGAAGAAACCTTCAGGAGTGTCACTGGTGTCTGAACAGACCTGTGTTTCCTCTAGGCTATCAGCAACATCTTTGTATTTCCAGAAAAGGACTGATGCACACTACTTTATTCATGCTACAGGAGGGAATATTTAAGTTTAGAAAGCACAAAAACCTGAATTGGTTTTAGCTGATAAAGCTTGCCTTTGAAATAGGTATTTCCTGAGAGCAGGGTTCTTTGTTTTAATACAAAAAGCCACTTTAGTTGTGCCTTCAGCTTTATGGGATGAATAGAGCTGCTGATTTGAGTGATAAACACACCTTACACAGCTTTGGTTAGGCTTTTGGTCAGTGAGAATCTCCAAGGTTTCTTCCTCTCCCCCTAAGAAACTCAATTAAAGGTTAAGTAAGGTGCCTGCTCTCAGCACTGCTCACCTGCTACCCCAGCAAGGTTAGGGACCATCAGAGTGACTCTCCTGATGTCACTGTAGGAAGTCTGGATCTGCACTTTCTGAAGGGTTTTTTCCCCATCTCTATAGAGGGGGTTTAAAGCACAATATCCTTCAGGTCCAAGTCAATGGCTTTGGGTAATTATCAGAAGCAGCCACAGCCCAGCTCTTTAACCCATGGAGAATTCCCTGGTTTACAGTGGAACAAGACACTTTTTAAAGGAATCCCAGTCCTGCCTTTTCACAGCTTTGCCTGTCTGCCTGCTTTAATACTAATGAGAAGTGAAATACAATTCTTTTTTGTCCCCTCATGTCTTTAGTATTTGGGTTTGTTAGTAGGTATGCAAGAAGAAGGAAGTTTCTGGCATCCAACTCTCTCCTTACTCAGGGGATGTTTACTTAGACTGTTCTAAATTAAAGGATTTTTGGGGGCTTGAGCAGCTGGAGGTAAAAAACCCAACTTGTCTTGAATCCTCTTGCTGGGTAAAACTGACAGGAGCCTGGCCAAGAGTGATTTGTGTTGAGTACTGAAATTCATGAAAAAGTTCTACCTGGGGGAAAGGGAGGAGGGAAGAAGAGCTGGACAGATGAAAAGCTCTTTTTGGTTTCATGAGCCTCCTCCTGGCGTGTACCTGCAGCTTGAAGAGGAGGAATAAAATGAGCTCCCTGGGGCACAACAAATTCTAGTTTTCTTTCAGATCTTGTGTATTCTCAGAAGAGTGTGTGTAGAAATATCCCAGTAGCATTGGGGTGTTTCTGTGGCTTCTTGTGTAGGCCCAGTTTGGTGGGATGACCTTGCTAGGAAAAACCAGTGGGCACCACAGATTTTTATGCTGGTTCCAGTCAGGACTCGTGTTAATCTGCTGGTGAGGGGGTGACCAAAGGAAGGCTGTAAAGCAGATGCAATACCAGAACTTGGCTGTTTGTTTTGAAGTAACTGCTTCTTAAATCCTTGAATTGATTTATTTAATACTTCTTTGAGCTTTGAGCAGGGATAAGAGAGTTCAGATCCTTCAGCTGAAGGTTCTTTGTCCATCCTACCTGGCTGTAGTGTTTCACTCAACCAAGAAACCAGAGCAGAACTGGTGATTTTCTCTCACTGGACCCACTCTAGGTGGGTTAGAAGAACTCAGGGAGGGGGAATCTATGCTGGCCTGAACTGCTGAGTAGCCTTGGGTTATTAGGACAATATTTTCTGGGCATGGAGGTGGCTGTGGCAGCTCTGAGGGCATCATGAGGGCAGGAACTCACATCCACCTTTTAAGCCCTTTCACTTCTTTCTTTAAACTTTTAGTGTTGTCATTTCTGAGAACTTGCAGGAGTTGGGAGGAGAATCTGTGGAGGAGGAGTTCAGGGCTAGGGAGAAGTTTCACCACAGGGTGGCACTACTTAAAAGGAAAAGCAGAAATCAGAGTATTTAAACACTGCTTTTTAAAACTGGGCACAAGAGAAACCAACCTCAATCAATTAAAAAAAAAAAAGTCTAAGGAGATGATGTTAATAGTGAGTAATGTGAACTTACAAAGTCTTAATTTCCCTTTTAACCAGGCTTTGTGTAACAAATCTAGTTCCTTTTCCTTCTAGATTAAAAAGGGGTTTATTTGTTTAGATGGAGCTTCACTTCTGTAAGGACCCTTGGGGGCGTGGGGTTTGTCTTCAGGCACCATTGCTCTCATAGGGAAAGTTCTTTTGGAAGGTTTGTCACTTTGAAGACAGGAATTCTCAATAGAAATTTAACTGTTTAACATGTAACATGCTGCCTGTTTCCCTTCTTTTCTCTCCAGGCTTTTCTGGATAACTTCTCCCAAGGCATCCACGCCGAGTACAAGAGCAAGGGCATCATTGTGCAGGTGAGCAGGGTTGGTTTCCTGGGGGCCTGGTCACCACAGCAGCATTGGTGTCCTGGTAACAAAAGGGAAGCACCATCTTCTCTGCCTCCTGGGTCTGTGACACAGATGAAGGATGAGGATTCCCTTGGATCCCAGCAGCAACTTTCTCAGGTTCCTCTGAAAGGACACCCAGACCGTGGCTCTTTGGGGCTTTTATGGCATTTTGTTTGGTTTATTGCAGCTGATGGTGGTAACTGAACCTTTAAAATCTTCCTTATAGCTGCGTGCAGCTGTAGAATGTGAATTTACACAATCTGATCTACCAGAGTGCACTTTGGGAGGGCATTTGTGCAGAGATACCAGGGGTGACTGCTCAGGAGATGAGAACAGCAGCAGTGCTGGTGAGTCAACTGCCAGTGGAAGCAGAGTAGCAAGAACCAAAAGCCTCCAAGACCCCTGTGTACATATAGGCTGATTTAATTTTCTTTAGTAGTGGGTTTCCACATTACTAATGAGTCATGGGGGGAGGGTTTTGCCTCCATTTGTTTACTTTCCATGGTTTTAATTGATGTGACATAGAAGCAAACCAAGCCACCCTCTCACAGCTTGATGGGATTTGGCTTTAATATCACTTCTCACATGTTCCTTCCCAAAACCTAGCTGGAATTTCCAGCTTTGGTGGCAAACACTGAGGTTTGCTGTGCTTAGTCCACCTGATGCTCTGCAGAGCAAAAGTCTGTTGGATAGAGGTGGTGTAAGGTCATCCCTGTGAAGACAGTGATGTCTCTTAGTTAATTTGGTTTTCAAAATTCAGGTAGGGGTCTTAGGAGCTTGTGTTACTTTTTGGATGTTCTAGATGTTCACTTTACTTTTAGCTGGTTACCTGGGAGAAGAGACCAACACCCCCCTCACTCCAGGCTCCTTTCAGGGAGTTGTGCAGAGCCACAAGGTCTCCCCTGAGCCTCCTCTTCTCCAGACCAAACAATCCCAGCTCCCTCAGCTGCTCCTCACCAGACACGTTCCCCAGACCCTTCGTGTAGAGCCAGATGCTTGCAGGAGGAGGAAGTGTTACAGCTCTGAGATGTGTACTTGTCTCCTCCTCCCCAAATTTTATCCAAGTGCTGTTTTGTCAGTTGGAGAGGAGGAGGAAGGAGGTTCACTAGTGACTGTGGAGTCCCTGAGGAAACCCAAAAGGTGACTAACCCAGTAGCTCCTGCTTGGCTGAAGGCATTAAACACAACACATGGCAGGGGAAAGATTTCCTTCCTTTCAGAGGTGGAAGAGCTGGAAAAAGACCTTTAAACATCCTAACATTTTTAACATTATAAAGAACTGAAGGATTAAATCCAGCTCTGTGTCTCCACAGTTGGGTTTTCCTGTGAAGCCTTCACAGGCTGTGCTAAGCTGCCTTTCTGTAGCCCCCATGCTGGCCACGGGTGCCACACCCCTGAGAGCACTGCTGACCCCTAACCATGGGCACTGAGTTGCCATCCTGAGTGGTGGGGGCCTGCTGACCAAGAGCTGGCTCTGCCTCCCTTTGGCATGCTCATTTTCATAGAATCATAGAGGTTGGAAGGGACCTCAAAAGATCATCTAGTCCAACCCCCCTGCCAGAGCAGGGTCACCTAGAGTACATCACATCATTTTATTGCACTCCCTGTCCTTGTCTCCTCACTATAAACCCCTAGTGAATATTGCAGGTGCCTTCCTCTGAAGAGCACCTGATGGATCTTCCAAGCCCTTAGGAAGGCTGCTTCCCCCTCAGGTTCTTTGGAGTTCATCTCTGTGACCTGCAGAAGTGTAGCTTTTTTCATCCCAGACATGTCCTTCCAGCCCAGAGGACCATGTAGAGCAGCTAGCTTTGACCATGCCCAGCCCTGCAGGGCACCCCTGTGTGGAAAGGGGGAACAAAGTGCAGGATTGTCCCAGATCCTGAAGTTTATCAGTTTGGCTCAAGTGGATTTCTTCCCCTGTGGAAGCTTCATTTTGATAGTACATCAGACTTTTAGATATGTCACCATCTCCAGATAATAAATACACCTTTTCTGGCTGACAGGCCTACTTGATTTTAAAGAATTTGCTCAGTAATAGCATAAGTTTAAATTCTGCATGTGTTGACGTGGAGAGGAGGAGATGGGCAAGGAGAAAAGGAACCAGGAAGAGCATGAAAGAAGGCAAAAAGTCTTCTCTCAAGACTCTGGTTTTTTTTATAAATCTCCCCCTGAAAGATTTCTGTAGACTCTTCTGAACTGTTTGCTCTTTGAATATGGCTAAAAATATGGCTTGGTTCCTTACCCTTTTCTTTTAGTCTTTTTTCTTTTAATTCAGTTATTTATTGGCATTTTCCCCTCTATACTTGTGACTCTGCATAGCAAGAGTGTAACAGGAAAAAATTCTGCTCCCTGTTTTCTTCTGCCATATCCACTGTATAAAATACAGAATTACAGAATGGTTTGGGTTGGAGGAGACCTTTAAGATCATCAAATCCAGCCATTAACTCTGCACTGCCAAGTTACCACTCAGCCATGTCCCTCACCCCACATCTCCATGGCTTGGGAACCCCTCCAGGGGTGGGGACTCCACCCCTGCCCTGGGCAGCCTGGCACAGCCCTGGACAACCCTCAAGGGGAAGACATTTCTCCTCCTGTCCAACCTAAACCTCCCCTGGCACAATTTGAGGCCATTTCTTCTTGTCCTATTGCTTGTTTTTGGTAGAAGAGATGGATCCCCACCTGGCTGCAGCCTCCTGCCAGGGAGTTGTAGGGAGGGATGAAAGTAATCTGTGGTCATCAAGTCCAACTGTTAACCCAGCACAGGCAAGTCCACCATGAAACCATGTCCCTCAGCACACCTATCACAAAATCATGGAAGTGTTCACCTGAAGGGATCTCTAGGAAGTTTTCTAGACTACCCTCCTGCTCTCCTAGCAGTGGGATTGCTACAAGCTGGCTTGTGGCTTTCTCCAGCCCAATCCTGGAGACCTTGAAGTCTTCTTGCCTCCATACAACACTGAAGACCCTAATTTTGAGTGCTGGCCAGTTTAAATAAGGCTGAGAGCTGCAAGCAGTGGGGAATTTCTACGTGAGGAGGAGAAATTGTGCTGATATGAGCTGCTTTTAAGGTGTGTTTTGAAACTGGAGAGCAAGCTAGACCTTCTCAGGATAAAGACAAGGAATTTTCTGGACTTTTAAGGTGTGTTTTAAAACTGGAGAGCAAGCTAGACCTCAGGATAAAGACAAGGAATTTTCTGGACAGTCACTTGCCCACATAGTGTGGGTTCTATCTGCCTGAGTGCAAAAAAAAACCCAAAAGTCTTGAGGCAGTGGAATTTTGTTGGTGGTGGTTTTTTTAAATCATTTTTTGATGTGGTTCTTGACTGTCTGAGCTCCTCGTGGGGAGGAAGAAAGGAGGAAAACTAACTGAGGATACAACAGGTCTCTTCATAGCTGTCAAAATATGGCACAGTTAATGGGAAGATGGTAAATCTAATATTTCTGAAATGAAATAGCTGTTTTCTGGAGAGCATTTGGGAGGGAAAAAAAAAAAGCCCTGGAGTGTAATCCTATGCTCCTGTGTGCCTTGAAGTGGGTGGATCAATAGGTAACCAGTGATGCAGCTCCAGGCTGGCTTCTTCAGGTGTCCTTGTGGAACTGGTGGCCCATTCATGCTCTCCAGTGGCGTGCCTGGGCAGTGCAGTTCACTGGCAAAGTCTCTTTTGAGCAGAGGAAGAGAGAAAATCAATCACCACTGTGGTGCTGCTCCACGTGCAGGTGAAATTTGGGGGTGAACGAGGAGCTCAGAGTCACATCCTGGATGCAGCCCACGAGATACCGGCCTAAAAACGGCGCTGACGTTGTCCATGGTGATGACATGGGAAAGGCACCCAGCCTAGGCTGGAATTCTGTCTCTGGCTTCTCTGCTTCCTGCTGCTGTGGAGTTCTCCTGGCAGCCTTCCCTGCCTCACAGCACCTTTCCCCCACGCAGAGTGTCCTCCCCTACTACGTGGCGACGAAGATGTCCCGGATCCGCCAGCCCACCTTCGACAAGCCCAGTCCCGAGACCTACGTCAGAGCTGCCCTGGGCACCGTGGGCCTCCAGTCCCAGACCAACGGGTGCCTGCCCCACGCCATCATGGTGAGTGCCCTCAGAGAAGCCCTCAGGAACCACAGTGTCCTTCGGGGGCTCCGTTCAGGAAGGAGAGCAGAGACTCCTTGGGGATACTCCAGCGTTCTCATCCTGCCTTGGGAGCGTTTCCACGTGCTGGTGGATTGTTAGATGTCCATGAGTGCAGGCTATAAAAATCTGAGATTTTCTCTCTCCCCCCTCCCTTTTTTTTTTTTTAGGGATGGGCTGTATCCGTTCTACCTACGTCTACTGTCATTAATTTTATCTTGAAAAGACACAAACAAATGCGGGACCAGTACCTGAAAAAGAAGAAGGAGAAGTGAGTGGGAGGCGACTCCTTCTCCGAGTCCTGCAGGTTCCATCCTCACATGGACTCGTGTTCTCAGCATCTTCAGTCGTAGGGGTACTTTCTAACAAGCAAAGCAGTCTCGTTTTGAGGAGAATGGTGGCACGAGACTGTCCACTTCTAATCTTGATTTAAAAATAGGCTTGATTTACTTATCTTAGGAGGGGGGAAGCGCTTCGGACTCAAACCACGCCCAGCTTGAAGAAGTCATGGACTCCATCAGACATTGCAGTGCTCAGCTTGCTGGCAAGGCATCCATCCCATCTACGTGCTCCTGGCTGGAGGGCAGGGAGATGGCAGTTCCCGAGCAGGAAGGGAGCCTGTTTGTTTATCAAGGTGACCTAGCACCGTTGACAGGGCAGGACTTCCTCCCAGCTCAGGTTTTGGGGACTTGCAGGGACCCCGCGTCACCAGCCAGCTCCTGAGCACTCCCCTGCTTACGCAGCCCGGGGGGAATTTTGGCTATGAACTTGAGGGGTAATGAGCCAAAAAACCCCCAAAGAAGTGTCATTGCTCATCTATAAATACGCTCATAGCAAAAAAAGCTTTGAAACCCTTGCTCCTCAGATGCAGCTCCTGACTTCTCAGCGCTCTGTAATCTCGCTGATTTGTAATAAGGTGTTTTTTTTTTTTTCAAGTCCCATGCCTGCTCTTTGTCCTAGGTGGTGATAACACCGTGTAGATAAACCTCCCAGTCAGTGTCCTGTGCTGGTCGCTGGGGGGCAGATGATGGGCACTGGGAACACAGAGCTTGAAACCAGTTCCTCGAAACCAGTTCCTCTCCCCGTTAGCCACGGCGCTTCGGTTCTTTCTGAGGCCTCGAGCTGCCTTTTTGGGGAGACCCTTATCAATGGGACTCCCGAATCCTTGAGATGGCCTGAAAAACAAGAACTGGTCAACTCCTTGAAACGCAGAGGTGAGCTGGAACCCCTGGTGGGGTCCTGCTTGGATGAACCCACTCGTTTCACCGTCCCGCTCCCAGCCGGAGCGTTCCCGTCAGGCTGAGCCTCCCCAGCTCCAGGAGGCAGGGAGCAGAGCGTAGGAGGAGCCCGTGCTGCTGCCCTCTGCCTTGCCCTATTCCAGAAACACTTTTAGTCTCTAACATTCCTTTTCATAATCACAAAAACGTGCTTTTACAAGCACAAAATCCACGGAGGTGTAAAAGTCAAACCGATTTGGCGCGGCGTCTCCTGCGGCGACCTGACCCCTGGAGGTTGGTTTCTGCCCTCAAAGGAATCGTTTCAAGCTCTGATTTGGGAGGGAAAAGTGTCTTGCCTAGACAGGATTTGGGGCTAACCCATCTGTACATTGAACCCAAAACCACCAAACCCTCAATACCGATGCAATGGTGCTGATCCAATCCCAGACGTGGAGCCCCTCCCACCGGTT